TGTTTTAATCTATGCCGTGTCTAAAAGTCAGATTTTCTCAAAATAACGATAAAATAAAGCACAACTTCTTTAGTGATATAATGGTTCGATAAACACACACTTTCTGTCTTCTTATCGAACAAAATTAATTTCGGAAAGGCAAGTTGTATGAATAAAAAATCCTAGGCAATTTAAAGTCGGGTTTTGATGAGACAACTTTATGAATCCCTTCCATTAAAATGTTTGCATGAAATGAAAGACCAAATCAATTGGAATTGATGAGGAATTCTTTGAAACTTAGTTGTTCGTCAGATCTAAGCAGTATGCATATTTCTTGGAATTTCACATTTGCTACCTAATAACCTGTAGGCTTTTGGCAAGCCTAAATAGTTTGCTAAAATGACATGCTCTGAATATGTCCATATATTTATATTTGACACTACAAATTTAGACTATTGCTTGGAATAATCTTCATGTACGCGCATTTTGTTGTTTTAATGATCACAAACTTGACTTTTCTGAACATAGTGCGAGAATATAGTGTTCTTGAGCATCAGTACCACGATTAAAGCGATAGTAAGAGAACATAAACGAACATCCGCACATGAGTACTTTGATGAGTCGAGATATTTAAGATAGTATACATGTTTGTTGTAAGGAGGAAATTTATTGGTATGAACTCGTTTCTTGCGTGCTTTAACTATTTTTCTTATTGCTTCCGCACGATGCAATGAATCCATGCATGATGGCCAATTATAACGACAGCTGAATTCTCTAAATCATGAAGAAGAAGTTCTTCTGCGGGCAGATGAAGATGACATTGAGTTACTTTTGCTGTTACAACAACCTCCCTCAGCCTCAACAGCCTCTGGCTCACCTAAGATCGGTCGTTATTTAAGCCACGAGCTGGCTATTCAACTCGAGGCAATGAATGATTTTCTGCAGCCCTATGAAGCTTTATGGCGCACTGCTGCCCATTATAAAAAGAGCGCTGATTTCTGGCACAATGAGGCCCTAGTTCTCCTTGACATAAACTCCATAGAAGACGAGGTAGGTCAATCTCGTCTTGGGAGTCATGTAGTACAACCTAGAGCATAGGGATTTTGCTCACGGTTGTGGTTGCCTAATATTCTTACTTTTCCTCGTGCCAATTTTTCATAAAATTTTAGGAGCATCTTTGTTAAGAAGTCTTATATTTTATTTAATGAAAGGACTTTACTGTAAATTATAGGTAGGCCACATAATTTAATCTAATTACCGATTCTGTAAGGGTTTTGGTCTTAAGTCAGTTTAGGCTTATTTCTGGGCCAGTAAATTTATTTAAATATTTATTTATATGCGAGTTATTGTATGTAAAGCGAGCTTAACTAAGGCGTTTTCTTTTCATCACTATTCTGCACATATTGGCACATTGTGTTACTGAAAGTAACACATAAGCTCCGTTAGCAGTTACCCTATTATCAAGATTTTTCTAATCGTTTTTTCAGTTTTATCTTAAAAA